TTTATCGCTACCGGCATCGGTTTTTTCGCCTGGTTCTTCTAGCTAAACAAATTAAGACTGGCCGCCAAAACTGGCAGGAAACACCCCTTAAAATTTCAGTTTTCTAGCTTTCCTGGCTCCCCCCCTCAGGTTAGCAACTTACTGGAAGAAATTTTTCACATGCCCGCATCACGCATACCCGGTGTCTGGGTTTGAGCTCGTTGTGACTTACTTTCACGGGGAGCATCTTCCTAAAACTACAGTCTCTTAGCTTTTCAGGTTCTCGGGTTATGAACTTACCCAAGAAAAACTTTGGTGAACTCGTGCGTAGGTACCACGCGTAATCGAGGGCTGGGTTTGAGCTCGTTGAGACTAATGTGGACGGGGAACATCCTTTTAACATTACAGTCTTCTAGCATTTCAGATCCCTGAGTTATAAACTCACCCGGGGAGAATTTTGGCGGGCCCGTACGCCGGTACCGCGTTTACCCGGGGTTGGGTTCGAGCTCATTAGTACCTACTTGAGCGGGGAAAATTCCCTTAAAATTTCAGCTCCCTAGCTTTTCTGATTCGCGATTTAGCAGCTTACTCGTAAAAAACTTTGGCGGGCTCTTACATGGGTATCACGCTGGAAAGACCGCCCATTTTGGAGACGGAGGCTCATACTTGCATGTAAATTAAGTCCACAAAGTTTCAGCCCTGTAGCTCTTGTGGGTCTCGAGATGAAAAATCGGTACAGACGCGCAACGCACACACAGACACACACCAAACACACGCAGACAACCTCTCATCAATATGCGTTTTTCGCATTGCATAGCTGCAAAAAACGCATAACAAATGTTATCATACGAAAATGAGCACAAACACATACTTTCAAACGTCGACACGATCTCGCTTTAATGCCTTTCTGGTGCACTAGTAGCGCAGTAATACGTGGAAATTACGTTATTTCATAAAAGTATTGAAAACAAAGCAATTCAACACGCTTCAGTGCGAAAAATTCTCACCATTATTAGCCAAATAACAAAACCCGTTGCCAAAATGTAAGCTGTGTCGATTTGACGTAACCACTGAATCAGCTCACTGGGTCCCGGCACAATCTTTAAATCAGTGATTGAGTCTGAATTCGGTGCAGCAGCTAAAAACCTGAATTCGGTGCAGCAGCATTCAGCTTCGCATGATTCGCTATTTTGCCTTGATAATAAATTTGGGAGCAGTGTTCCTAGCTTATAGCGAAGTCCATACTATTTCTCGTTCTTTTCTGGAAAGTTTGAAGTGGGCCGCCTGCACATAATTCCTGTTTTGTTCCCAAAATTGCTATTATTTGCATTTACTCTGATCACCACTAGTGCAGTAGGTTTTTTTTACCACCAGTGCAGCTGACGGTATCTCTATTCTTTCCCGTTTTGGGCTTCTCTCTTCCACACAATTCTAAAAATAAGGGAAAATCTTTCTATTCTTTTTTTGACGACGACGCAAGAGAAGGGCTGGTACCCCACACAGCACAAGCTCAGGTAAAATTGCTTTATCAAAACTGCTTCTCAGTGCGGTAATTTGCAGAATGAATGCGCTTGGGGTGAACGCTGTATACCAATGAGCTGGGACCGAACTCGCGGATGGTGTGTCTCGGAATCCCTGCGTGATTCTATCATGAACAGCTGAGGTGCACTGGTTGACATGGATGTTGCAAAAACTGCCCGATGATTTACTGATATTGTGGCTGGCCCTTTTATTTGTTTGCTCAGTTTGTTATTAACTTAAATTTGGTGTTTTTGTGCAGAATTTTGTGGATTATTTTTTATCGTGCTGTTCTTTTTTTGGTCACAAACCACTAGCTGTGTTTTTTGGGTGACATGTTTCGTTATTGCCTGAGGCGACTTCAAGCAACTACTCGGACCATTCAATGATTATTTGTTATCATTGATTATAGTGGTCGAGGACCGATCGCATTTGATGACTCAGTCAGTGCGGCTTTTTTTTTGATAGAATCGACAATAATTTCTATTTTGCGGGTTTGCTTGTGCATTTTTGCATCATTGACAATATGTAAAACCGCATTACTGTTTGTGTATGTTCCGTCTGCTTGATTTATCATACGTTTTCAATAAATACAAAGGCTAGTGGAGCTAAAGTTTTAGGTGCAAAGCCTTGGGCGTAACCTGTGCATCTATCCACTAGGTGTTCTCAATATAAAACCCTAAAACCAAAGTTGAGTCGATCTTCTCATGCGCAAGACTTTTATTGGTTTATGCAAAAACCCACAAAGCCCTGTTTTTCTGAATCACATAAAATCAAACAACTTTTTGTAAAGTGTATTGTTTTTTTTACGATGCGGGTGGATGGTCGCCTGACGGCGCTGCTCT